CCGCCTCTGGGCGGCCCCAGCACGGAGCCGCCTGCACCCCGGCAGGGCAGAAACCCGGCCTCAGGCTCGCACAGAAACAGGCGCCTTGTCGAAGGCGGCCCTTCCCCAACGGCCCTTCTGGGGCCATTTTAGGCTTCAACCTCCCGGCCCGTTTTCACAGGGGCAGCCACTGAGGACTGCGAGCAGCAGGCACGAAAACTGCCTCTGGGGAAAAGCCATCAGCTGCAAAAAGCCAAGAAAAGCCCCCCCACCCCCTTTTTTTCCTCCTTTTTACAAATAGGGGGCTGGGTTTGGATTTCTAGTGTCACCTCAAGCGGACAGGGTGCCACCACGCGTGAGCGCGCGGAGCCCGGCGGCGCTGCCCCGCGGCCTGGTAAAAAGGGGGAATCTGCCCAAACAGGAGTTGACCGCTTCAGAGCGGGAACATCCTGGCAAGCATCTGAGTACTTCTCTAACCGTTATTTGCCCGGTATTGTTTTAGCTTCAGCCTGGTCTCCCTCTCTGCAACGGGAGTTGTAGTTGAAAATGGAGGATATCAGGCCCGTCCTGTGATTCCATGCGTCTGTCCAGTAAAACTGCCATTTGCCCAGCGTGGATCCCACTAGACGGCATCCAGGAGAGGCACTATCCAGAGAGGAGACATCACTAATGGCCACGCTTCTCAGACCCCACCACCCCATCAGCTCAGATGCCCTAATGCTAAAAAAAGAGCTTTGAAAGGATGAGGATGGGATCTGTTCTCCACCTCACATTGCCGCACAGTGCTCCAGTCCCAGGCTGAATAGATTCGTGAGTGAGGAAAGTAGTTAAGAGAGTTGAAAAAGTGGTGGTAGCATTTCCTTTGTGGAAGAGTCTAAGTGGACTAACGTTCTTCACCCTCTAACAAAAGCCATCCTTATTCACTCACATGGATCTTCCCTTCAGGGACACAAATGTCTTTTTTAGAAAAAAAATTTAAAAACAAAACCCCACCGTTACTCAGTGTTTAGTAACAGCTGCCACATGCTTCCTTAAGTACTCCACATGATTTTGCTTAACTTCACATGAGGTTTAATATTTTGCTGAGCACAACACAGGCTTCCCAAACAGATTCACGATTATAAATGCATAGTAGCAAGTATAAGCATGTAGTGTATAAGCATTACACACTACAGTGTAAGATAAAATAAGCAGAACCTTGAATGAAAAGCCCTAGCAGATCTGGACAACTCAGAAGGTCAAAAATATCGCTAGTAAAACGTAGAGAAAGTTTCTTTAATGCACATTGCCACAAAGAACTAGGCTGTGAAGTGCACCCTGCTAAATCCAGTACTCTGGAATTCAGCAGTTTTGTCTGTATTATGTTTGGCTAAATCACAATCTACAAATTCCAACAGAGGCAGATGGAAGAGTTAATTAAAATAAAAATTCGAAACACCTAATCTCCCCCAAGTGACAGTTAACACCTACAGTTCAAATTCCCTTAGAATCAGAAAAATCACATGCCCATTATTTCCTCCCCCCTAAACTAGAACTGGAGTCAGTTCTTTTTCATTGGGTTATAATCCAACTTCATCTTCCAGTGTTCAGCACTTCTGTGATATTAAGGCTGCCCTAGAACAAAATATCATTTACCAGGCAGCAGAAAACCATTCCCAATTAGCATCTATCCCATTATTAGTTTGCAGGTGACATCTACTGGTAGGATGCATACTGCAGAGGACCCTGGGTCTGTGCTGCACCTCCCACTCCCAGCTCCTCAGCTCCAGACAGCAGAGGCTGTCACAACCACCCTATTTTTCTTAATTCACAGTTAATTATCTGAAGTCACAGTGACTTCAGAATGGGGACAAGGAAATGCTGACCTGCACGCCTTGTTTGTGTCTGATTCAGTGATAGCCTCAGGCTAACACAGCTGAATTTGTTGAATTTTCTGTCTACAATATAGAACAGTCTCTCAGCTCAGGTTCACTGCATTACTAGAAACGAGCATCTTCCTAGACAGAATCGAAAAACTGCCCGTAGCACTTCAGTGATGCCATGAACCAAGGCTCCTCATTCCTCCATAAATCACCTCTACTCACTAGCAAAGTAGCGAGTACATCAGTCATCAGCAAACCTAGGAAGTTCTTATAACCTGTTTTCTAGTCCAAAGTTACTAGAAAACAGGTTATAAGAACTTCCCATCACCTAGCAATTTGAGTCACCTCTTTTGTTACATGAACATTAGATTTCTGTGTTTAAATAACACACACTGATGCAACCCAGGTGACATTTTCACCTATTTTATTATACACAAAACATAAGCAGCTCTACTGAGGAGGCTGACCACGTCCACGACCAAATCCACCTCTCTGCAACAGAAAAGAAAGAGCATTAGAAGTCATCATATGCACCCCCTGCTCCAAGTGTCACATAACTCATCTCTTTGAGACTAGCTACCCGACACAGGGTAACTGGAAGAGCGAGACTAAGAACAAACCCAACCCACCTTACGCCAACTCTGTGCATCATGTCCAAACCCTTCCACGCGTTAACAGCTAACGCATAAAATAACGCATTTCCTCTAAAGATCGCAACATGCTTCTCAAACGTGTTGCAGGATTCTTGTCACAGCAGAGACCATCATCTCGTTCCCCCAACAGAAGTGCAGCAAACAAGTTCAGCATAAAGGACAATAGTCACAGGCCTCCCTGAGAGGATCAGCGCCAAATACCTAACCCCAGCATGGAATAGCGGATAAGCACCGTATTGAAGAGCATGCAGGTATGACCTATCCAGTGTCCCCTACCCAAAGGGTTAACACAGGAAGCAAGCCTTGAACAGAAATACTTACAAACTGGAATTCAGTAGCTGCTCCAGCACCAGCCTCAGCCTTCTTGTCAGCACCAGCTGGAAAGAGAAAGAGATGAATGAGCTACAGACCAAAGAAACCACTCCCCAAGTGCAGAACTCTTGCTTGGAATCAAAGGTTTGCAATCAAAGGAGACTAAAAAGGAGGCTAAATATAACAAAAACAGCCACCATTGAGATGGTTACTGTTACTAAACCCACTAGGATGGTTACTGTTACTAAACCCACCCCAGAAAAAACTCCAGTTCAGCTTGGTAAGTTAAAATAAAAGGCATATCCATAAGCAGATACAGATCAATTCTGTCGTGTGAACGGCTAAGCTATGCCAAAAGTCTATTTTTTCCCATTTCCTCCTTGAAAAGAGGCCAATATTGAAGGCAAATCTCCCAGAGAGATAAGCTGCACAAACAGCAAGCTCAGCCCGATATTCATACAGCAACATGACAGATACTCACGCGGAACGGCACTGCGTCTGTAAGTATCCCTGTCAGCTTCTCCCCGAGTAAGACGAGCAGGGCGTTCACCTTCCAGACCTGTAAGCAAAAAAAGCTACATCAATTACACTGTTTATACAAGCAACTCATTTTGTGTGCGACCCTGCATTTGAAGGTGGCAAAAAACTGCATTGAAGCATTAGATCTACCAGCACAGCTGCACTTTAGACAGCTTAGTATATATA